CTCGCGCTTCAATCGTTGGCGCCAAAATACCCAAATCACCGGCGCCTGTGGCGCGGGCGCCAGGAGAGTTTCGGGCAAGCGGATGTGATATTCGTATTCAGGAGGTCAAACTACCCCAGGAGACAACATTTGAGCCAAATCTGTCCACGGAGAAAAAAGTCGGTCAAAAACTGGCTCAATTCTGGATGGTTGGGGCAGTAAAGGGTAAATAGTGCCGGAGGGGGCAATAGCGGAGCAGAGATTCATCAAGAGATTTTCATTATGTGGAAAAGGCTGGATACAGTTTTGTCAGGAGTACCTAACTGAGGGTCTCAAGCACTTTGCTTCTACTTTCTGGACGCGTTTTTTTTATTTTTTGCTAATTTTTTGCCAGATTTGCAAAACCTTGTGCATATGCTTAGCTCTTGTCCTCGATCTGAAGTTCAGTTAGGAACCTAATTACTGTTTGAATATGTTTACTATCGTGATTTATAGGCCTATCTGCAAAGGCTCCTCTCGACAAAGGAATGCGATAACATGATTCGTTACATTGGAATGCGTGTTGAGACTGAAGGTGGTTTGAATGAACTTCAGATATACTTGGAATATGCAGACGGTGGAGAACTTTTCGATCAAATTGGTGGGCTCATTCGACATTCAACTTCCATTAAGCTTGCATTTTGCATACTTCTGCTTATTACCCCACTTTTTCTTAGTTTATTTCTTCATTTATCGCTGTGAGTCAGGTGAAGCTACGTTCATACTTTTACAACCTTTTGAGCGTTTACGGCGAAAACGAAAGTATAGGTATTGATCCAATATTTTGATCGAACTGCCGGCGCTAGATCGATACCTTTTCGCTCAAATCGCTGGGGTTTCTCCCAGAACGCTGGATCGATGCCTACACTTTCCTTTTCGCCCTAAACACTCATAAAGCTGGCATTCCGCCCGGAAACTAGATGAATACTTTGTAGCTCCTTTTTCGTCTAAAACCTCACGATGCCGGCCATAAGTATGAACACTGCCTTGTGATTTTAATATTTGTTTTTGTTGGAAATGTTTTTTATATCCTCCTAGAAAGTATGTCCTCAGGTGCTGAAATCATGGTGGGGGAACGGGTGAAACAAGGTTTTTAGTTCTGTGATCCTCTGCGCTAACTTAAACTGAGCCTGTTGAGAAAAGGATCACTATCTCGACAGGAAGGCACAGAGAGCGGAATTAGTCGCGCTGCCCCTCCCACATCCTTTTACCCGATTTTTTAGGGCTCATTCTTTCATGCTTGATCCACAAGGTTAGAAATTTGCCTTGTTTGAACTGACGTTATGTTTTTTTTCTTCAGCAGTGCACGGTACAGTCACATGCTGCGTTATACTTTGCGACCCTGGGATTTAAAGATCCGATACATACCACTTATTACTCATTCGTTCTGGCGTCTTCGATTCTAATGCTCCGGATCCGTACTTAAGATTCTTTGCGTTGAGATTTTCTCTTCTCTAGTGTCGCGAAGCCTAAAGAGCTCCAGGCGTCACCTGAATTTTGGTCATCTGGTGTAGTTCACCTGAATTTTTCAGATGTTCTAAAAATCTCCGACTTCGGTATGGCCACTGTTTTCCGGCACAGCGATCGTGAAAGAATGTTGAATGCCACATGCGGTACACTACCTTACGCTTCCCCACAAGTCATAAAAGGATTGTACAAGTGAGTTCTGATGCCTTTAATTCTTTCAATGAGGTAGCTTTGTAAGCTCCACCGCTCCACCCACTTCTCCAAGTTTCCCAGAGCGGAACCTCTGGCATATTTGCGTATCTGGTGTTACTCACTGGTACCCATGTTAGCCTGCGTGACTCCCTTGCGCGTTCAGCATCTAGGTTTGTTTTGTCTTTATATTAGTTTTCAGTGTTAATGTGGTCAGGGGTACTTCTTAGACGCTTTCAAGTTGTTTCCCCTACCAAGACCTATGCATAGAGCGCAGACGACCAGAGTGACCTAAGGACAGCCACTCTCAGCATGAAGACAATGATTTACACTAGCCTAACCAGGACAGGTCTTTTCAAGTCGTGGAGCCCATTGCGGCTGTTCCTAGGAATACAAGACGGGAAAGGCAACATGCCTTGAATTGATAACGACGAACTCCACCCTTGTAAGATTTTGTTAGTAAGAAGGAGACAGAGTCCCTAAGGACAGCCATCAGAGAAGACATGATCTCCACTAAGCTTAACCAGACAGGTCTTTCTAGTCGTGGAGCCCATGCGTGTTTCTAGGAATACCAAGAAGGAAAGGCAAAAGTTTGAATTCACTACGAATTCCCTTGTAAGATTTGATTAGAAGAAGGGACACAGGGGTACTGCCGACTTCCTCCTGCACCAGCACCCAGTTTTCTCACCGACTCTGTAACCAAAGTTTTTCAGTCGAAGCGATGCGTCTATGTCCCTTTCTTTACTCAAAGATTACTCTTTGCAGCGCAGGCGACTAGAATTTCGCAGAGCAGATGCAGTCACGCCGCTGCCCCTCCCCCTACTAGGAATCGCGTTAACAAGAGCCCTACGAAATGCGCTGTCAGTGGCACGATTGAAATTTGCTACGTTCCAGAGAGTGTCCTGCCTACAGAGAATGGGTTAACGGCACTATTGTAGTGACAGAGAATAACCCTTGGAAGAAAATTGATACCACAGCTTTATGTAAGTTGATCTGATACCTTTTAGCGGTTTTTGGTTGTCAGTATTCGTTTTCTCTTCAGCATTAATTCGTGCAATACTAACGGAGGACGAGAACACTCGTGCCACATTGCAGCGGATCATGGAGCATCCATTGGACAAACATAGACTTCGGTAATCATTTCGCCAGTGAGATCATCAATCTCATTTTTGTGGATCTTTTCGGCTTTTTTCCAAAAAAATAACTTCATATTTAGTGACAGTGAGGGAGAACTCCGTTAGTGTTCCCGCCATCAAGAGGAAACGGCTGACAGCTGATAGGAGCGAATGGTTAGTTTTTGTTTTCTATAAATCATCTGCAAGCCATCTACATAAATGTTTATCCCCCCTCATATTTGCGACACAGCTCGGCGACCGGGGGAGGGGGGACATTTTGCACTTTCGCTGCTTCACTAGTTTCGATTTATATGCCTCACTCATGGAAGCGTGTGAACACTTGTGAAGCTGGAGCTCATCGAGCTAGCCAGCTGTAATGCATTGCTTTACAGGAGTTGGCAGGTGCTATTTACAAGAGTTAACTACTTTTTACGAGCGTTAACAAGTGGTCTTTGCAAACTTTAGCTGATATCATTTCATGGATTCACATGAGTTCACAGGTCTCCATCTGATGGCTTAACTCGCCGATGGGGACTAGCGAAAATGCCAAATGCCCCCCTTGTGCCAATTGCCCCACCCCGTCGCCGAACTGCGCGTATATTTCCCTTGATTAGTATATTTAGTAGCGTTACACTGGAAATCTCTCAGGCTTTCGAAGTTAGAGAATGCTTATTGTTGCCACTGGTGAGTTAATGTTCTACTTTACCCGACTTTAGCCCAGCAGCTTCTCAGCCTTCGGCAGTAAAATGGACATCTTCTGTTGTGAACGGGTACAATTCGTTCTCGCAGCCTGCTGAAGCACCACTGTTGCTGAGCAATAGCCAATTATCCCAGAATGTGGACATTGTGAGCATAGAAGATTTAGAAATGCTTGCCAAATGTAGCAATTATCTGTTAAAAAATTTTAGGATCCAATGACAATGATGGTCCGCCGTATGACGCGATTTTGCGTCACGGTGTGTGGTGCTGAGGTCGTTTCACGTATCAGGGCTGCCTGTGTTGATCTCGGTTTTCTTCCTGTAGAGAAGGCTAACAAAACGGTACGGCTTACTTTTTTCGTTTATTCTAGTTTTTCAGTGAAATACTCATATAATTGATTGGTATTGCAGTTACTAATCACGTACAGAGACATGTCATTCATGGTGACGATCTACGAGGTGCCAACGAAGGTGCTGGTGGATTGCAGGAGGTAAATTGATAACTTCTCCATTTCTATTGGGCCGATGTCAGGCATCAATTTGAGAAGTTACCTGCTTGAACTCCGGTGTATAGCGTTTGTCTCGAGTCACAGCGATCGCGGCAAAAGAGACGTGGCAAGAGGGGAAGGGTCAGCATTCGCAGGACTTATTCAGTTCAAAATGGCAGTGTTGTATTGTAGCAAGTCTGCTTGCTAGGAAATACTTGCTGGTCTGCGCGTGACGTCACGACTCGCTAACGGCGCGCATTAGCTTGAGGCGTCTCTCAGAAAGACCCTGCCCATTCGGGTTCCCACACATACTAAGTGGCTGAGCAGTCCGGCGACCAATTTGGGGTCAAGACTTTTGCCCATAACTCGGTATTTTCGTAGTAACTTTCGGAGCGCGAACTGCGGCGCTTAGCAGCTGCTTCTCCTAAAACAACAATCAATAAAACAGCCTCAATGAATTATAAATTATAAAATTGAGCCTCCGACTCACTGCCGATATGTAACGATACCGCTGGGCGGCTCATCATCTTAAACGTGTGAATGCTGTGAGGCTACGGCATACAAGCCGTGAAGCTAAGAGCGTAGGAGCAGTCCCTGTGGCTCAACATAGTGCGCTGATCCGGAAAACGTGAGGTGTATGTTCGAGTCCCGCCCGGGGTTAAGACTTGTTCATAACTCAGCATACTTGACTTTTACATATTTGCGCTTTCTCCTCTCATGGCGAAATGATGGCAAAATGATCACGCGGTCACCGGTAACCGTTTTATAAGTTTTCGCGTGATTTTACCTTGCGGAGTAGCAAGTCTGAAGGGTTGCAAGACTCGAGTCTATCGCCGTGAGATCCCTCAGCCTTGATTGAGTTGATAGGATTGTTTGATATAAAACGACCTTCTAGATCACGTGGTGATGGTTTGGAGTTCAAACGAGCGTTTCTTCTGCTCAAGGCGAGCCTATCAGACATCATAAGCAAAGAAGGAGAATCATGGATGGAAAGTCGTGGACTGACATGCTCACAAAATGCTGAGGTAGCAAGTTGGACGCGAAGAGGTGTTGTTTAGAATGCGGAATTGAAGTTCAAAGGTGGAGAACTATAAGTAGCTCTGTTTAATATGGCCTGTCGTAACTAACTGTCATAACCAGTCTCAGTAGTGGCGCCAAACCGAATGTAATATCGTTCGTCTTGTTTATTTGCACATCATACTTGGGAAAAACTAATTTTTCTCGCTACTCGTGTGATGATGTAACCTCTGACGTAATAACTAATAATCTTGCTCAAAATCATAGAATTATAGAATTAGACTAACGTTCACGCTCAATTTCAAGCCGGATTTGTAGACGATGACGTCATTTGTTGAGGGCAGTCAAGAGTTCTGTAATGGTGAAACTACGAAATGAATTGTGAAGAAGACGCGAAGATTTTAAGGTTGGGGTCCGAGGGAACTTTTTCTAGTGGAGGCTTATTAGCCAAGGTACCTTCCTATTAGCCGAGGGTACCTTTTCCTACAGGAATATCCAGCAGTTGGGGAACAGCGGGCTGCTTCACCTCATGCACTACTCTTGACTGCAAACTCGTTCCCCTAGCGTGTCATAGGTCTCATGTAAGTTCTTGCCTCCCTCTTTGAGGAAAATGTCATTTTTTAACGTACCATCAATTTTTGTTTATATCATGCTCTAGGTTTACTACGTTGTATCGCTACGTTGTATTTTTCGAACTCTGATCTCGTACTCCGGATTTAACGAGCTCGTCATTGCACTACTCGAATACAGTATTTTCTCCCCAGTGAATAAAGAAGTGCTCAGTAATAGTATTTCTTGTGTCGTCAATGGTGCTTTTGAATGCTGTGCTATCAGCTACCAAAAACATGGTTATCTGCAAAACAGAGGTGAATTCTTAGTGAGGACTTAGTTAGACATTTGATTTTTTCGATAAGGAGTTACTTCATTAACGGCAATTTACGAGTGAGTGACAGTGATTTGTCTTCAAGTGAAAACGAAAAATGAGCATTGCATTGAATTGAAGGCCTCATATCTTGAGGGTGCACCGCTTGAGCAGATACCAAGGTCCCACAGCGAAACACATACTG